ACCTAGCAAAAAAGTACTCGTACTTCAAAATTAATTATTTTCATAGGCTACTTTATGATTTTTCTTTATTTTTATTCGTTTCCACCAAATGGCAAATAACTATCCATAGTTCAAAATCCTTGATTTTCATGGGCCATTCATAATTTTTGTTCGATTTTTCTGATTTTGACCCCATAGAAATGCAAACATCAACATTCGGGGTTTTCATGTGCAATAACCCATGATTTTTGTCAATTATCATTCATTTGACCCAATAGCAATTAGTTATAACTATTAGATTCGCAATTTTGATGGTTATTTACCCACAAATTTGACAATATTCGTTAGTTTCCCTATGACGAGTATAACACGAACTCAAAAATTTACGATTTTCTTGAGCTATAAAACATGATTTTTGTCCATTTTTGTTTTTTGATCAAATGATGAATAAGCAGGTGTATTTCAAAATTCATGATTTTCATGGGATATATTCTATGATTTTTGTCCATTTTGTTTGTTTCAATCTAATAGCAATTAGTTGTGCCAACTTCGATTTTCGCGATTTTATGGGCCTATAACCCACGATTTTTGTCCTTTATCATTCATTCAATTCATTGGCAATCAGTTATTGCTACTCCAAAAATTCATGGTTTCGATGGGTTAAAACCCACAATTTCAATAATTTTTTTCGTCCCAACAACAAGCATGACCTTCAAAAACCGCCATTTCATAAGCTATAGAATACATTTTTTTCGATTTTTGTTTTTGATTCAAATGGCAAATAAGTATCTGTAATTCAAAACCCGTGATTTTTATGGGCTATAATCCACTATTTTTTGCCTATTTTTTCGTTTTGACTAAATGGTAAGTAACTATCTGAGTTTAAAATATGTGATTTTCATGAGCTATAAACCACGATTTTTTTGTCTCTTCGCTTTTGCGACCAAATGGCAAACATGTGTACTTTAATATTCGTGATTTTCTTGGGATGTAGTCCATGATTTTCGTCTTTTAAATAACAAATAAATGTGTAGGCCAAAATTCTTGATTTTCATAAGTTATAGTACTTTGTCCATTTTTGCTTGTGGCAACGCCATAGAGATTAATTGTGTGAGTACTATTCGCAATTATCATGTGCTACCCACTATTTTATCCCTTATCATTTATTCGACATAATGATATGTAATTATGTCTGCTTCGAATTTCGCAATCTTGATGGGTTATAACCTACAATTTTGACATATTTTTTTCATTTTATCCCAATAATCACAAATAATACATACTCCAAAATTCGTAATTTTCACGAACTAACTTTTTGTCAATTTTCATTTTTCCATCAAATGACAGATCTACAAGTACTTTAAATTTAGTTATTTTTATGGGCCGTAGTTTGTGATTTTTATCAATGTTTGTGCATTTCGACCAAATAACAATTAATTGTGCTAACTTCAATTTTCGCGATTCTCATGGGCTATAACCTAATGATAATTAGTTATAACTACTTCAAACTTCATGATTCTGATTATATGATAAACCACAATATAAGCAATATTTGTTCTTTTCACCCCAATAACAAGTATTAATATGTACTTCAATAATTGCAATTTCATGAGTTATAGACCATGATTTTTGTTAGTTTTTGTTTTCAATTAAATGGCAAATAAGCATGCATACTTCAAAATTCGTGATTTTCTTAGGTTATATAGTCTATGATTTTTGTCTATTTTTTTCGTTTCGACCAAATGACAAATAAATATCAGTAGTTTGAAATTCTTATTTTTTATGCGCTATATAGCCAATAATTTTTGCCCATTATTGCTTGCTATAGCGCCACAATTACTATTTGTGCAACTTCAATATGTGTGATTTTCATGTTCTATAATGCACGATTTTAGTCCATTATCATTCATTTAATCTAATGATAATTAATTATGACTACTTCAATTCACAATTTGATAGGGGTATAACCCACGATTTTAACAATTTTTGTTCGTTGCGTTTTAATGACAAGTAATAATATGTATTCTGAAATTTGTGATTTTCTTGAGCTGTAAAATGTGATTGTTGTCAATTTTCATTTTTCCATCAAATGGAAAATAAGTACACGTATTTCAAAATTTGTAATTTGTAATATTCACGTGCTATAGACCATGATTTTTGTCCATGTTTGGGTGTTTTGACCCAATAATAATCAATCGTGCAAACTTTAATTTTCGTGATTTTCATGAGTCATAACATATGATTTTTGTTCATTTATCATTCATTCAACCCAGTAACAATTAATTATGACTACTTTAAGATTTGCGATTTTGATGGGTTGTAACCCACAATTTTGCAATATTTGTTCATTTCATTCTAATAACAAATATGTACTTCAAATATCACAATTTTGTTAGCTATTCTAATAACAAATATGTACTTCAAATATCCCAATTTTGTTAGCTATACGCCGCGATTTTTGTCAATTTTTATTTTTCCAACCAAATAGCAAATCTTCAAACTTAGTCATTTTCATGGGCTATAGTCCATTAATTTAACCATTTCTGTTCGTCTCGACCATATGACAAATAAGAATGCGTAGTTTAAAATTTGTGATTTTCATGGGCTAGTTCATAATTTTGTCCATTTTTGATTGTTTCGATCCTATAACAATTAATTGGGCTAAATTACCTAGTTGGTATTTTTTTTAAATGCCACTTTACCCGTCAATTTGTTTTGCTGCTCCAACGACTTTTTAGTATTAGAAGTCCACCACCTGCAGTTAGACTTTTTGTCGCTGCCAGCGAAAATTTAGCGGATAAAATGCATGCAACTCACCTGACCAAATTTGAGAGATTTGAGCAAAAATTTGGTAAAAAAATACACAGATAAAATACATGGACCAAATGTGCAGTTAGATATTTTTTTTCAATTTTTTAGTTTTCGACCAAGTGGCAAATAATTTGGCGTACTTCAATATTAATGATTTTAATGGGCTATTGTCCATGATTTTTATCTCTACTAAATGACAAATATGTGTGCATAGTTCAAAATTAGTGATTTCCATGGGCTAAAGTTCATAAATTTTGTCCATTTTTACTGTTTTTAACCCCTAGCAATTAATTATGCAAACTTTATTTTTCGAGATTTTCATGTGCTATAACTCATGATTTCTTTCGATAAGCAACCAAATGTTAATTTATTCTGACTGCTTCTAAATTTGCAATTTTGATGGGTTATAATGTTGATTTTCATGCGTTATATATCTCATAAATTTTGCCCAATTTTCTTCATTTTGTCCTTTTTCCATTCTGACGCAAATGATATTTAATATGTGTAATTAACATTTCGCGGATTTTAGTGGCTAACCCGCGATTATTTTCTATTTTGTCAGTTGAATTAGTGGCAATTGATTGGCGTACTTTAGAATTCACTAATTTCACGGGCAACGACTCATGATTTTTTCCTTCTATTTTTCAATATTTCACACCAATATCAATTAGGGGTTTTTAGATTTTAGTCCCTTAAATCTTCACTAATTGCATATTAGTCCTTCAAATCTTGGAAATTGCATATTGGTCCTGTAAATCTTCAGTATTAGTCCCTCAAATCTTAAAAAATGTATATTAGTCCCTTAAATCCTATTGGGTCTTGCAATATGGTCTCTTAGTTAATATTTCAGTTAAAACTTATTCATGCCTGGGTTAACTCTTTAACCCAAAATCTACATCGACCAAATTACCCCTTTCTGATGTCTGAACCCTTTGTGAAGCTCAATTTTTTGTAAGATTTTTTTTGCTAACCATTGGAGAGCTCAAGTGAATTTGGATTTATTATAAGCGGTATTGGGTTTAAACCTAATAAGAAATGGGTTGGGGAACATTATAGAGGGGTAAAATAGTCACTTAGCCTCCAAACATTATATTTGGCGGAATACTCCCCCCAAATCTGAAGTGATTTAACTTGAAGAATCGTTTTGCATTACCCTATAGGATTTGAGGGGACTAACATGCGATTACCAAGATATGAGGTACTAATATGCAATTATTGAATATTTTGGGGAATGCAATTATTTCATCTGTTTTGAGCCAATGACAATTAAGTACGCGAGCCTCAAAATTCACGATTTTCATTTTCTATAACTTACGATTTTTTCCATTTTGATCCATGGCATTTAAATACGATTGCTTTAGAGTTTTCCATTTTTGTTGGCAAATATCCACAATTTTTGTCTTTTTTTTTCTTTCGACCCAAGAGTAATTAATAAGTATGTTTACCTCAAACTTCTAGGTTTCATGGGCTATAACTTACAATTTCGTCTAATTTTATTCCTTTCTAGCCCATAGCAATTAAGGATGGTATTTCAAAATTTGCGACTCATGATTTTCGTCAATTTTTCTGTTTTGACCCAATGGGAAAATATTTACGCTATATTCATGAGCTTATTACTCACAACTTTAGTCAGTTTTAGTCAATATATTTTACCATGAGATGCCCTTGTATTTGTTCAGGTGGACGAAATGTTTTGATGTGTCGTTTCTCTCACTTGCTGGTCGGTATCAATGCCTTTTAACACAATAGTATATAGGTGACAATTTTCATGAAATAAGGGGGGAAATGAATGATAAACATTTCGTTAATGCATTTTATTCAACAAAATGAGTGGCGTGCAACATTAGGAGTTTCAGGAGAGATCTTTAGCTGTCCATACATGCTTGGTTGTGAAAGTTATAATGGGTTTGGTGCAAATCCTCTGGAAAGTATCTTATTGCATATTAACGCCATTCATCTTGATTTTTTTTTTCATTTAACGTTGATAATATTGAGATGTTGAGTTTTCTTTCTATGAAAATTTTAGTCTAATTAACATTGGACTGGCCCATATCCCCATGACTAAATGGGGTTGGACTTCACTTCCACTTTTGCCATGGCAAGCACACATGCACATCCTTGCCTTCTATCTAATCATTGTATGTTTTTAATCTCAACCCAAGAAATTAGGCTCATTTGTTATATAATGATTTTGCGAACGATATTTGCAGGAGGGTTCATCAGGGACAGACTGGAGAAGCATTAAGCCACAACTACACTCTTGTGCTGGCATCAAGCAGCTCTCCCAGGAACGATCTTTCGAGACGGATTTGAGTGAATCAAACGGTTTAGATGCATCTTCAGGCATTAGCTCAGAGACAAATTCTGCTTCAGTTGGTTCCATAAACTCGAAAGTAAGTTTTGTGTTGAGGAGGCATATTTAGTTACGAGAATTAATTCCGCACGGCCACGCACGGATCCGCTCACACAATGCTGAGATGTTTTGTGCAAACCATATTAAAATTTATAAATTTGAGAAAAAGCCCCCATTTTTTCGAAGTATGCCATAGGCGGAAACGCCCCTGATTCTTTTGGAAATTTTTGTAAGCGGGGTTAATGGATGGATAAAAGGTCTATACTACCCTTGTTACTCTCTACTTAACCCTAACCCAAAAAGATGGTAATATGGCATATGGCAACTTCAACTTATTGCTGTCAGCTATGGTATTATCTTGAACAAGTTCACACTGGTTTTCTGTAATTATAAAGTTTAGGGGTGTTGTGAAAAACACTACAGACTTTTTCTAACAGCACCTACCAGAAGATAAAATTTTTATTGACAATTGTCATACAGGGTTTCGACTATAACCAGAGGCAACCAATGCCTGCAGTGACATCTTCAACTCTGGTGGAGTTAACAACACGACTCGACTTTTTTAAGGAAAGGAGGTCGCAACTCATGGAGCAACTTCATAATCTTGACCTAAGCCTTGGCACATCTTCAGCCTACAGATCTTCACCGCCATAGAACAGCAGCAGCAGTCCTAGATGACTGCCGAAAATACCAGATAGTTATAACCAAGTTCCCTTTGTATATCCTTCATTCAGCTTCACTTTCTTTTTCCTCTTTTTTGTGTATTCTGATTTTCTTCATCTATTATTGGGCATTCATAGGGAGGTGCCCTTGTAAAAAACTGGTGTGATGTTGTAATTTTTGTTCCCGTCCTTTCTTTTCTTTGTAGTTTTGTTGAAGAAGCTGGTAAACAGAATGTGAGGACATTTAATGGTTATGTCTCCCTTCCGTAAAATATATCAATATTGCCTTTGATTCATCAAGTGCCAACATTTGGTCTTAATTCATTTTAGCTTCTATTAGTTTGGTTTTACAGTTCTTACCGTTTTCGATGTAAGAGGATAAACATTTGGGAGTTCTGTGACTACTGAGAGCCTACAGCAATATATCAATCTTATCCGATTATGCACAAAATTCAGATACCTAGGGTGAAAGAACATTCAGATACAACGTGCACCAGGCTACGAACTGAACATAAATGAATAATGAAGATAAATTGGGTAAATCCTGCTATTGTAGTCAGCTGAAAGATGTCATCACCATTTAACAAGCGCATTCTTTCAAAGACACTTTCTTACTTGCTACACTAAGTCGGTCAGGTTCTGTTTGACGGCAGGAGTTCCACACCTTGAGCTTAGCAAACATTGACTCTCTGACCTAAGTAGTTTGACTAAAACACTCATGAAATCGTGAATTTTAAACTTCGCATAATTATTTAGTTTTTAGTCAAAATAATAAAAAATAAACAAAACTAATAAAATGTTTATCCACTTGCATCAAAAATTTTGAGCTACGACACAATTATTTGCAATTTGGTCAAAATAATAAAAAAATAAACAAAAACCTTCGTTATAACTCATGGGAAAATGTATATTTCGAACCTCGTTTAATTATTTATTCGGTCAAATCGAGTGAAAATGTGCCAAAATTGTGCATTACAGCTCATGAAATCGTGAAATTTGAACTCTGCATAATTTTATTTTATTACTATTTTGTAGAGACTAAGAAAATCAAAGATAATTGTGGGTCATGAAATCATGAATTTGAACCCCATAAAATTATTTACCATTTGCTTGAAAGGAGCAAAAGTGTACAAAAATTGTAGACTATAACTCATAAAATTGTGAATTTTAAAACTTTGCGTAATTATTTGCAATTTGGTCAAAATTGAACAAAAATCACGGGTCATTACTCATGAAAAATGCGAATTTTGAATTCCATTTAATTATTTCCTATTTGTAGAGAAGATCGAAAACGGGAAAAAAAAATCGTGGGTTTATTACTCATGAAATCTTGAAATTGCGCTCCGTGTAATTATTTGTCATTTGGTTGAAGCAAACGAAACAAACAAAAAACATGGGTTATCACTCCTAAAATTGTGAATTTTGAACTTCGCATGATTAGTTGCCATTAGGTCAAAATGAGTGAAAATGGACAGAAATCATAGATTATAGTTCAAAAAATCCTGAATTTTGAACCCCGTAAAAAATAATTTACTATTGGCTCTGAACGAACAAAAAAAGGAAAAAAATCGTGGACTATAGATCATGAAATAATGAACTTAAAACTTTGTGCAAATATTTGCCATTTGGTTGAAATGAATGAAATTGAACAAAAATCATTGGTTACAGCTCACCAAAATCGTGGATTGTAAACTTCATTTAATTATTTCCTATTTGGTTGAAATAGAAAAATAGACAAAAATCATGGTTGTAGCTCATGAAGTCATGAATATTGCACTCTTGCGTAGTTATTTCCCATTTGGTTGAAATGAAGAAAATTGAACAAAATTTGTAGATTATTGCTCATGAAATGCATGAATTTTGACCTCTAATAAATTATTTCTTGTTTGGTGGAAATAAATGAAAATGGAAAAAAATCATGGATCATAATAGTTCATGTGAATATTTCATTTTTGTAAAGCTATTTCTAATTTTGTCGAAAAAGCAAAATTGAATAAAAAGTTGTTGGTTATAGCTCATAAAAATCTTAAAATTCAAACTTCGTTTAATTATTTCCTCTTTGGTTGAAACAAATAAAAATGAATAAAAATTCTTAGTTATATCTCATAAAATTGTAAATATTATGCTCTTGTGTTATTTTTTTTCATATGGTCGAATAGAACCAAAATGAATGAGAATCATGGGCTATAGCTAATAAAATTATGAATTTTAAACTTTGCATAATTATTTGCCGTTGGGTCAAAATGAGTGAAAATAGATAGAAATCATGGATTATAACACATGAAATCCCAAATTCTGAGTCCCAGAAAATAATTTGTCGTTGGCTCAAAATAGACAAAAATGGATGGAAATTGTGGATCATAGCTCATAAAATTATGAATTTTAAACCTCACATAATTATTTGTTATATGGTCAAAACAAACAAAAATTGAACAAAAATATTGGGTTATAGCTCTTGAAAATCATGAATTTTTAAACTTTATATATTTTTTTCCAGTTTGGCTGAAATGAACAAAAATGGCTCAAATTTATGAGTTATAGCTCATGAAATTATGAATATATGCTCTTGTGTAACTATTTTCCATTTGGTCAAAATGAAGAAAATTGAACAAAAATAATGGATAATAGCTCATGAAATTCATGAGTTTTTAACTCTGCTCAATTATTTCTTGTTTGGTGAAAATGGAAAAATTGGGAAAAAAAATCATAGGTTATAGCTCATATGATTATTTCTCTTTTGCAAAATTATTTACGATTTTGTTGAACCGAATAAAATTGAATGAAAGTCATGGACCATAACTCATGAAAATCATGACATTTAATTATTTCCTCTTTGGTTGAGATGAATGAAGATGAATAGAAGTCAGAGGTTATAGTTTTTCAAATCATGAATATTGGGTTCCTATGTTATTATGTTCTATATGGTCAAAATGAAACGAAATTAATGAAAATCGAGGGTTATAACTAATCAAACTAATATTTTGAACTCTTTAAAATTGTTTGTCATTTGGTAAAAAAGAATGAAAATGAAAAAAAAAATTATGGGTTACAGCTCATTAAGTCCTGAATATTATGCTTTGCATAATTTTTTTCCATTTGGTTGAAACAAAAAAAAACAAAAATTGTAGGTTATCGCTCATAAAATCATGGATTTTGACCTTCACATAATTATTTTCCATTGGATCAAAACGAGTGAAAAAGTACAGAAATTTTGGATTATAGGTTTAGAAATCTTCAATTTTGAGCCCCACAAAATAACTCAGTGTTGGCTCAAAACAAACAGAAAGTGGATGAAAATTATGGATTATAGCTCACGAAATCGTGAATTTTAAACTATGCATAATTATTTGCCATTGGGTTGAAATGAACAAAAATCATGGATTACGAACAAAAATCAAGGATTACGAACAAAAATCAAGGATTACAACTCTAAACAACGCTGTAACAAGTCCTCCTTCACTGCAAGCCGTCGGATCTCGCTCAAACTCCCCAAAATACACCGAAAACGCCAAGGAGAAGAGGTTAGGGTTTGTAAGAGGGAAGAAGGGGTTGTTAGGGTTTAGAGCTGATGAAGAAGAGGGTCTCTCGGGTATAAAAACATATATATGAACAATAAACCCCGACTCAAAAACTCATATAAACCCGAACTGGGAAAAACTGTCTGGCCGATGCGCGATCGACCGCCACAATCGACTGGACAAGAAAAATCCTGTTTGTGCATGTTTGTTTGTGTGCTGGCCTTACACTTGTTCTATCTCACATAAATAAACTTGTTTGATCCCCAAACACTTGCTATCACATTCATCTATGATATAAGCATATATTTCACAATAAAAACTCATTCATTGTATTTTACGTGGTTTTACAAGAAACGACTAAAAATGGTCAAAAATCATGATTTGTTGCTCTTAAAAAAGTGAATCTTGGCCTCCATGAAACTATTTGCCAATGGCTAAGAACGATTAAAAATGACTGAAAATCATGGGTTATATTGAAATGGTGAATTTTTGCCTCCATAAAACTATTTGTTGGAACGATGAAAGATTGTCACTAATCATGTGTTAGAGATCATGAAATCTTGAACTTTATCTTTCGTGAAATTAGATTTGACTACGTCAGAACTACTTAAAATGATAAAAACTATGTGTTTTAGCTCATAAAAACTTGAATTTTAGCATTTGTAAAATTATTTGCTAATGGATTGTGACGACTAAAAATGGTCAAACATCATGGGTTATAGCTCATGAAAATGTGTGGTCTCCTCAAAAGTGTTTGCTAGTGATACAAATCAAATAAAAATATGTAAAAATCGAGAATTATAGCTCATGAAAATATGAATATTGCTTGTGTGAAGTTATTTGCCAATGGAATGGATAAAGTTAAAATAGTAAAAAATCATGTGTCATAGCATGTAAAAATGTAAATTCTGGTCTCTGCAAAATTAATTCTCATTGCGTCAGAATGACTAGAAATGGTAAAAATTATGGGTTATATTTGATAAAATCCATAATTTTTTACTCTGGAAAATGATTTACCCATGAGTAGAAGCGCCTAAAAATAGCCAAAAATCATAGTTTATTGCTCATGTTACTGTCTATTTTGGTCTCTGCTTAATTATTTTCCATAGGGTTAGAATGACTAAAATAGCCAAAATTTGTGTGTTAAAGCTCATTAAAGTATGAATTTGGCCTCCACAAAATTATTTGCCAATGGGTCGAAATAACTAAATATGGTCAAAAATCATAAGTCATTGCTCATTAAATTATGCATTTTGGCCTTCGTAGAATTATTTTCCGCTAGATTGGAAGGACTACAAATAGCTAAAAATCATGGGTATATAGCTCATAAAAATATGAATTATGGCCTCTATGAAATTATTTGCCATTGGCTCAAAACGATTAAAAACAGCTAAAAATGGTGGGTTACATCACATGAATATTTTAATTTTAACCTCCATAAATCGTGTGTTTTAGCTTATGAAAACTTGAATTTTAACATTTACAAAATTATTTGTTAATGGATTGGAGCGACTAAAAATGGTAAAATATCATGGGTTATAACTCATGAAAATGTGTGGCCTCTACAAAAGTGCTTGCTAATGGCACAAATCAAATAGAAATATCTAAAAATCAAGGATTATAGCTTATGACAATATGAATATTGCCTACACAAAGTTATTTACCAATGGAATGGAAAGAGTAAAAATGGTCAAAAAGCATGTGTTATAACACCTAAAAATGTAAATTCTGGCCTCCGCAAAATTAATTCCCATTGGGTCAGAATGACTAGAAATGAC